ATGAAATATTAAGGCTAGGATCCAACAACCTATTTATAACTGGAAGAGGGATGCCGTAATCCGAGTTATAAAATAGTTGAAGGTAGGTAAATGACGATTTACCAATTTCCACCATGAAAAACGAAATAATTTAATTAGGTTTTTAATTGGATTTGAAACTCCTAGATCTTTTGAGATTCATTGAACTTTTCAATGGCATGTTTCAATCTCGAGTGTGCCCTTCAGGTTTTGTGACTGGGATGCCGAGGATCACAAAACAAGGTGTGAAGTAACCATGCACATATACTTGGTACCCTTAATATTTACCCCTCAATCGATTTGTCGGTTAACCACACGAGCTCCACCGATACTATGATAAATATTAAGTTACCCTTTGCCTACCTTGTTAAATCCAAGTTAGTGTGCCGATTAACCACACGAGCTCCACTAACGGTTTCTACAAAGTGTAAAGTGTAATTTCATGGATTAGCACCTTATTCACATTTTCCTAAGTAACTAAGATTGGGAATTAATAAAAGGTTTAGTTACTTAGTATTTATCATTAATACTTTTAATGAAGGGAGAATTATAGTCCTTGTCCTACCTGTTCGGCTAACGACCCTCCACCAGTCAAGGAAGCGGTGGGTGAGAGTGGACACCCATTAAGCTGCCATTTTATAGGCAACAACCTTATACCCCCCTTATAGACCGGCTTCGTGAATGAGACCTACTAATGGTAAGACTGACTTGCTCTTATACACATATATATTATTAACTTATAATATTATAAAGTATAAGGGTTGAATTTTAACTTTTAAAATTCTAAGGGCTTAACTTGGAATTAAAGTATTCATGAGAGAAACTTTACAAATTCCAAAACTTGAGGGCAAGTTTTGAAAATATTCAAAACCATTTAATTCCATAACTTATGTGTTTAAAGTAGTTTTAATTAAAACTCTTCAAGTTCCATAACTTGAGGACAAGTTATGGAAGACTTTAAACTATTAAAGAATGTAACTCTTCTTCTTTTGTAACTTATGGAACTAATTAAGGTTACACATTTTAATGATTTAATGAAGTGACTCTTGAACCTCCATAACTTGAGGACAAGTTATGGAGTCATAAAACCATTTAATGAGAACAAGACTCTTCATTTTGTAACCATTGCCAACTTTTATGAGTTTTAAGAAACTTTAATGTGACTTTTCATGTAACTTGAGGACAAGTTACACAAACACATTTTAGAATCCACTCTTAGATTAAAATGGATCAAAGACACATAATCAATCAACCTTTTCTATTAATCTAAGCAACTCATATGAACAAGATAATTGGAATCAAACTTTTTCATGTAATTAGCATAACACTTAAACTAATACAAAACATGAATCTATTGACAATTATCTTTGAAATTGGATTAACATGAACATTACCACATCAAAAACAAGTTTATAAGTTCAAAAACAGCTTATGGTAATGTTCCTAGTCCATTTCTAGCCAAAACAGTCGAATATATGCTGTCAGGGGGTCCAACTCGTCGAGTGCATGAACCAACTCGGCGAGTTGGATGCATTTTGCCTTGGACTCGTCGAGTCCCTTTATGGACTCGGCGAGTCTGTTGTCCAGACAGCAACAAAATTCGATTTTTCAGCCATTTTTGCAAGTATAACAAGAAAACAAGCCTAGGCTCTGATACCACTGTAGGGTTTTGAGCATTCTAACACTCCTAAGTGTACATGCAACCCTAAATACCTTGGATCTATGTTTTCTCTATTATACATGCAAATATGAATATCCAAGGCATTATACTAACTAGCATACAAAAACTTTGATTCGTATGAAATATAACAAGTTAGAATACATACCTTTTTGATGTAGAATGACTCCATGAAGCTTGAGTGCCTAGTGCCCCAAGTGTGACACCTCAAATGGTTCACACAACACCAAATACACTTGGAATAACTTGAGAGAACATACACACTTCATGAAAATCGGCTAGCCCTTATTATCACTCATAGTGGCCGATTTTGTCAACAATAAGATGCTTATATAGTTAGTGACAATTAGGGTAAACCCTAATTGTCATGGCTTTCCATTTCCTTGGATCCATGGGTTCAAACATACCATGGAGCATCCATGGAGCATCTTATGGGTTTTAGCCCAACTTGACAATCCATGGAGCATTAGCCCACTATACAAGTATGGGTGATTTACACAATCAACCCATATATTTAATTAGTCTTCTTTTGATCACTTAATTAATTCTAGATTAATTCTTGATCAATACTAATTAAATAATCTTATTAATATATTATAACTTATAATATATTAACAAACCTTAAGTGTTATTTCTCTCATTATAGTCTATCCAAATGCATGATGCCATGCAACCCAAATGGACCATGCCGGGTCGGGTCAAGTCTTACCAATTATAGTTATGGACTTAGACATTAATCCAACAATTAAAGCTTTGGAGGACAAACACCCTTTCAGGCCACCCCCATCCATGCCGAGCCCCATAGTTTCTGAACCTCCCCTTGTAGCAGACTATGATTGTATATTTGGCTGCATTAAATCTTTCCCTAAAGAAACTTCATGTGGGAGAGATGGCTTGAGGGCTCAACACATTATGGATGCCCTTTGTGGAGAAGGGTCTGCTATAGCCACAGATCTCCTACGTGCTTTCACTGTAGTGGTTAATTTATGGTTAGCGGGAAGATGTCCGTCCATTTTGGCAGAGTTTGTTGTATCCGCTCCTCTCACGCCTTTGATTAAGCCATACAACGGGATCCGTCCAATTGTAGTAGGAACTATATGGAGACGTCTGGTTTCCAAGGTTGCCATGAAAGCTGTGGGTAAAGAAATGGCCAACTACCTTAATGATTTTCAATTCGGGGTTGGTGTGTCCGAGGGTGCTGAGGCTGTGTTACACAGTCCCAATAAGGTGTTGAGTGAACACCACACTGATGGGTTTCTTGCAATGCTTACAGTGGATTTCTTGAATACCTTTAACCTGGTGGATAGATTAGCCTTGCTCCACGAGGTTAGGAGGATGCGCCCTTCTATTTCTTTGTGGGTGAATTTCTTATACGGGCAAGCAGTGAGACTTTATATAGGAGACCAACATATATGGTCTTCTACTGGGGTGCAGCAAGGCGACCCTTGGGGCCCTCTTCTTTTTTCCCTCGTTTTGCACCCGCTTTTGTACAAGATTAGAGACAATTGCAAGCTCCTTCTCCATGCTTGGTATCTAGATGATGGGACTGTAATTGGGGACTCAGAGGAGGTGGCTAGAGTGTTGAACATTATTCGGGTGAATGGTCCAGGTTTGGGTCTTGAGCTGAACATTAAAAAAACGAAGATTTTTGGCCCTCCTGTGATGGTGGGAAGCTTCGTGCCGATTTATTCCCAACGGATATAGGGAGACCGTCTTTGGGGGTGAAGCTCCTTGGGGGGGGGGGGCTGTTAGCAGAGTTGCGGGGTTTATTAGCGGGCTAGCCATGAAGAGAGTGGTCAATGTTGTTGATTTGATGGGTCTTCTTCCACAACTATGTGACCCGTAGAGTGAGCTCCTTTTTCTTCGATCATGTATGGGCATTCCAAAACTTTTCTTTGGTTTAAGGACATGTCAACCGGTGCACATAGAAAAGTCGGCTTTGTTTTTTGACAAAGGATTGCACGGGTCTATCGAGGATATGGTGGTATGTGGAGGCCCCTTCTTTGGAGACATCCAATGGCGTCTGGCTTCCTTACCTATTCGTTTCGGTGGTTTGGGTTTATACTCAGGATACGAGGTTTCCTCATATGCATTTGTAGCCTCGAGGGCCCAATCTTGGACATTATAAGACCACATCTTATGTGACAGTGACATATGTGGTATGTACTCTGATTACCTATGTGCTTTGACTCGTCTTCGCGATAGGATTCCGGGATTCAACTTTAGCGGTTTCACTAATAAGGACATCCCCCTAATTCCCACAAAATCATTGGCGTGTGTCCTTTTTAGCAAAATCGTCAAAGATATGGAAGTCGACTTCGACATGACTGTTAGACAGAAAAGCAGTTTTTGAGTGTCTTCGGGCACCTCATGCTTATGATTTTCTGCTAACTATCCCTATTGATGGCCTCGACCAACATATGTCTCCTGTAGAGTATCGAACTATCCTTCGTTACTGCCTCATGATTCTTCTATTCCCAATTGACGAGATATGCTCAATTTGCCGCAAGGCATGTTTGGACACTTTTTAATGGACATGATGTGGTTAGGGATGTTCGTTTTAATGCTTGACGGCATGCTGGTATTTCCGTGAAAAAAGAAGCGCTTGTGAACTTTTTGACGGACCCGCAGGATGGAAGATCCACACTCAGGCCGACTAACATTTTGGTTTTTGGATGGGTAGGAGGGAAGCACGCTTGTGTGGATCTTATTGGGGTCTCTCCTCTCGTCGGTTTGAGGAGCGGGGGTTTCACAGTAGGGCAGACCGCTTTGAAAGCCGCTGCATGTAAAGTGGCAAAACACGAGAATGCATGTATAGAAAATCAACATGTGGTTGTACCTTTTGCATTTGATACATTTGGTTTTCTCATACCAGAGGCGGCGGAGCTCTTCAACAGAGTCCAACGGGTCATGCATTCTAATGTTATATCTTATAGATCTGTATATGTTGTTTTCAAAAGAATTAGTTGTTATTCAGAAAGGGCTAGCGGCACAACTTATTGCCCGTTTGCGTTCCGTCGATATGTATTGACATCTATGATTTTGTAATATATAATTTCGATAGTTATCTACAAATTAAAAAGACATATTGTGTTTAATAGATCGTAATGTATGTAAGACAATAATATTTTAATGAATAGCTCCATTTGTCATGGACTCATGGCTTATTTTACTACTTGATAATTATAATTATTAAATAATAATTATTATTTCAAATCATATACAATGATATAATCTATCATTCTTAAAACACCCGTCCAAAAACATTTATAACCAAGAGTGTCAAATCAACTCAACGACTAAAAAACATTTACGTACAGGGCTTGTGTGAAGAAAAAAAAATCAACACGAAACAATATCAATAACTTGAACAAGTTGCTGGATTTCCCCTGAGATTTGCGCCATCGATGGTGATCAGATTTTGAAAGCGAAATTGATTGAACACCGCCTGCGCCTGCCGGTGCCAATTTTGGTGGTCCCATTCCATTCGTCTCTGTTCCACCCAACCTCTCCATCGCTATAAATCATAAATCTCCCCGGAATCAGATCACATCAACGCACAAGTTTAGGGTTCAGCCGGTTGATATAAAGTTTCAGGAAATTACAGTGGCGGAAATCGACGGAGATTCTCATAATGTCGGAAATCTTACAGATCTTCCAACACTCTCCACCACCACACGTTAAATTCCATGGCCATGAGTTTAACTGCTCGATGGATTCCGGTCTTCCCTCGCCTGGCATCACCGATCATTTTCAGTGTTCAGAGTTCGCCGGAAGTCCTTTCACCAACTTCTTGAGTTCGTCGGTTGATGAATTATCGAAGGTGACCACCATCATTGGGCAGAATCAGAACTTGAACAAGAGAAAACTTGAGGTTTGTCGACTAAAATAGTAAAATGAAAATACACTTCATTCAACTTCAATGGATATTTTTTTAATATTTAAATAATAACATACACACATTAATTAAAATTTGTTATTAGTAAGTTAGTATATTAAGTTGGGTTAATACCTTAAAAACCATTATTTATACACCATCGTTTCGATTTAACCCCAACTTTATTTTTTGTTCTTCATTTACCATTATATTTTAGAAAACGTTTCATTTTCTGGCCCTTGACCGGTCACCAACAGGTCATGATGACGTGTCGGTTCTGCATATTTTTCTAGGTAACATGTCTCGCCCTCAAGGAGAAGTCGTAGTTTCAACTATTACCTCTGTTTTTTCCTTTTTCATTTTAAGTTATTACGTTTTAAAATACCTATTCGTGACTGGCCAAAGGGCTAAAACGAAATTTTGTCTAAAAAACAATGGCAAATGAGGATCAAAAAAATGTTGGGGTTAAACGCAAACCTATACGTAAATGTTGGGGCTAAATACAAACAGAAAAATATGCAGAACCGACACGTCATCGTTACCTGTTGATGACCGGTCAAGGGCCCGAAAATAAAACATTTTTTAAAATATAATGGCAAATTAAGAACAAAAAATAAAGTTGGGGTTAAATCGAAACGAGGGTGTATAAATAATGGTTTTTAAGGTATTAACCCTATTAAGTTATATATGTTTTATTCTATTATTCAGATTAATTTGTTATGACTTCATTTTCTATTTAGCTTTATAATTTGTTTTACAATAAATTAAAAAGAAAACGATACATAATAAAGAAAATTAAATTATTTATCCTAAATTAAAAATGTGATTAATTTATTTAATTTTTATTTGAATAAAACATTAGAGTTAGAATCCATCAATACCCTTTTAAAGTTTAAACTGTTCAATCAAATGAGAACCTCCCATTCCACTTTATCCGTTCACAAAGCATGAAGCCATTAACTCTCATCAAATGTTTTTGTGGATGCCCTTCGGCTACAATAAATACATCATTGAGTAAAAAAAAAAAAAATTAGCGTCTAAACAATTTTACCCTCTTTTAATAATTATGAAAAAGTAGAGTTTTTTTTTTAGCAGGCGATGACCTCCGAGTGGTTTTATTAAGAAGTTATGAAACAACCCTAAAAATAAAATTAATCACATACTTGATTCTCATAAATGGTAATTATATCATTTCTTATCCAATAAAATTTTGGTTATCAAATATAAATAATTAAATAAAAAAAATTCCGTCAAAAGAACTCAAATATGACCGATGAGCGATGACCATCTATCATTCTTATGCGAATAAAAGTTTGAAAAATATTATCTACTTGATATGATTTTGATTATTTATAATCGTAATTCGTAAGGATACAACTCTCTTCATCCAATTACATGCAACATCTTTTCTTTATATTTTAGTTTGATGATGATGTAGAAGTGGACTCTCAAAAGCAAAGAATACCCAACATTAAGACAAACACTTGTAATGGCAACTCAAAGCCAAAAAGGGATTTGAGGAGCGATTACATTCATGTGAGGGCTCGTCGTGGAGAAGCTACAGATAACCATAGCTTAGCTGAAAGAGTAAGTTACCAAATTCATTTGTTAAACCCAACTTAAACAAAGCTCTAATTCATCATTTTATTTTGTGATATAATATTAATAGGCAAGAAGGGAGAAAATAAAAAAGAGAATGCAATTTTTGCAAGATATGGTTCCAGGGTGCAACAAACTCACCAACAAGGCAGCAATTCTTGATGAAATTATTACTTATGTTCAATGCCTTCAAATGGAAGTTGAGGTAACCCTTCTTTTTTCTTTCAATCTATGAAATTGATCCTACTAACAATTTACATGTCCTCTTTTCAGTTGCTAACCATGCAACTTGCTGTTTCAACCACAACTCCTACACTTCAAGATGGACAACTCATTGCCTAAACAGAGATGTTGAGTCTGACTCAGTAGATATGACTCAATCAGCAACTATTAAACATCCACTTAATCAGAATTAAGCATTTTATATAGTGTCTTAATAGCTATATCATATTGCCTAAACAGAGGAATTTTGGTAGAAGGATCAGAGACCCTGTTTTTTTGTCCACGTTCCAACTTAAGGAGGCTTACTTAGTACTTATTACTTATTACTTATTACTTAACCTTGTTTCTCATTGTTTACCCAAACATTATTCAATCATTTGTTTCAATAAAACATATATATTAAATGAGATTAAATATAAATAACACCAATTCATATATGTATGTCATGACTACAATGTCATTCTCATAATCTCATTCACATGCTGGTTTTGTGTCAAAGCTACTAAGACAAATCGCAAAGGCTTGAAAAGCAGACAACGGGTACCCATAATCCATAGTGAAAATATCTTGTCCAATTTTCCCAAATTGTAAAATCACTCTATCTTTTTCTTCATTTGACACATTGTAACAATCTTCAACAGAAGCTCCAATCTGAAAGTTTTTAACAGAAGCAACTGTAACTCGCCCTTTGAAATTCAAACACCAACATTGTAACTGTTCATGCCATCTTGGGGATTTGTTTTTGAGGACTAAAGAGTCTTTTATAGCGGAATTGGAATGAGATGGTTTTTCACTTTGTTTTATAGAATGTGAGGAGGAGAGAGAATGTGGGAAGGATTTAGGAGTGGGGGCAGTGCCCCCTTGTTGAATTGAGGAGATGGGAATGTAATGCATTGAACAGTTCATTCTTCGGGGGCCTCGTGTACGGAGTACATTGAGTTCATATGTGATAGTGGCAATATTGTAATTATATGCTGGTATGCGGGGAGATATTTGATTTGTGTTAATCCTCCGAGTTGAACGTGTGTGATTTGGTTCAAATGATTCATCATTTGGAGGTTGGCTATCGTACATTATGAATTTTGTTCCAAGAAAATTGGACCTATTGTCAAATATAACATAAAAAGATTTGGTTATTAAGATTTAAATGGTGTAAAAAAGGGATTTGAATCTTTGATACACAAATATTGACTTTCGAAATTTCCAAAACTTGCCTTAATTTGCCAACATAAGCAGAGCTAGCTCGAGAAAAATCATCTGCAACCAAAGAAATCAAGAATTCTGTACTTGTTGCCCTTCGGATTTTCTTGGATGCTAACAATAACTTATCACTCTCATCTTCAGCTGTCAATAAAGTAAACTTAATGATCGTAACATATGAATTCACATCTTAAAGTTGAATTCTTTCATAAAATTAAGCATCATTACTTACATGGAGTGAGTCCATAGTACAAACGAAAAGTAGAAGTTGCTCGATCTCTTTTTATGTAGCACTGAATTGGAGAATCACGAGGACCCGGCTGTTTTAAGTTGCAGAAACATAGGTGCAATCAACAATCAAGAATGAAGAATGAAGAATGAAGATAGGAAATTACAAAAATTAACCTGTTTTAAGGAGATGGGGAATGTTAACCTTCCACATTCTTCAGGAGTTTTAACAATCTCTTTAGTGATGTCTCTCCAAGGCTTACAAACCGATGCACAATAAACAACAACAGTTCTTGCAGGCCAAGATGTTTCACTCTCTTCAACTCTACGAATTATGTCTAAAAGCAATTCAGGAGGCAAGTGTGCCCATTGGCCTTCGGTTGTTGATTCTAATGGAGGTACATCAGGGGCAATATGTGATGATCGAGTACAATTTCTCCAGTGTTTTCCTTCGACTCCTCTTCTTGACATGCTTCCGATCACGTCTCTCATCTCCTTCAGCTCGCGAACAATGTTTTTGAATGACATTTTTTAGTAGTAGCTTAACCTGAGGCAGAAACCCTAGAAACGTTTGGTAGAGTTCTAGAGTTTAATTATCAATTTTGATGTTGTACAGATAGATCTGAGGCGATGACTTTACAAAACTGCATTGCTGACTTTGAATCATGTAAGGTGTGAACTCTGAAAACTTGTCGTATTTTACACCTTGTTTTTTAATTATCCTTTGACCAAACTTCACCAAAAATTAATTGCTTTGAATCAGTCTCCTGTTGTGAAATGCGAAGAAAAGTAACGATAACAAATTAACACGTTATCATACTCAGCTTAATGCAATAAAAATCAAAGTAATCTGAATAGGGTCAATTGAAGTGGAATGATGAAAAATGCATACCTCTGAGGCGATCGGATCAGATTGGGAATATCGGAAAATATAGTTTAGTTCGGACGATAGAAAGGAGTTTCAGATCGGAGAAATGGCGGAAAATGAAGAACGTCACGGATTACTTTTGGGTTGTTAGGATTACAGCAAATGATCAGATCCCCTTGTCGCCACAGTTTGCTTCGATCAAGGCATCTCCACCGTATTCACCGCCGCAGTCTCCGGCACCGCCTGACGAGCTCTCTCGGATGAAGAGAAACAACTCCTTCAATCAAGCGCCGAAGGATTCCCACGCCTTTAATTAGTATTATCTGCACAGTATACTGAGAGGATCTTCCAGATTGATTATTCTCCCAAAATCTATACCCCACTACTTCGTTAACTGATTACGTACACCGTAATCCGTATCAGGTTTTTTTTTTTTTTTTTTTTTTTTTTTTTTAAATTAATTTCGTTAACTAATTCTCATTTCTCAAGTATCAACTTTAGTTCATAAATTTTATTTCTTACATATTTCGTCATTATTTTATACTTTTATAACACTTCTAGTCCCATGTTCTAGCATTCGTTAGCCTTCATCCGTTAAGGCCGCCTCATGTAACTTGAACATAAGGGTATTTCAGTCTTTTCCCACTAGCTCCTGTTCGAATCCGATTTATAAAGAAGGAAGCAACAGTGGGTTTCTCTTCCTCTTCCATCTTCATCCAAACGTATATTCTCTTTTGTTGCAAATTGTATTATACACATGTGGTGGATCTTTTGTAATAAGAACTTGTGGACATCAAACAATCCTAGTAGTATATTCTATTTATGCTATCAAGTGGTAATGGTAATGGTTTGTAAGTTTTCTTAGTTGTTCACTTCTAACTTCTAATTGTTAGTGTACCCCACATCGGTGGTGCGACACGGTCATATAAATGAGTATATATGTTGAATACTCATTTTCTCAACAAAGACTCTTTTGGAGAGACAATCTTGGATTCTATATATATTAACACTAAATAATTGTTTTCTTCATTGCAACTTTGCAAGGTATCAAGTGCGATTTTTTTGTTGGGTTGATCTAGTGATGTGTTCATGAAAATGTATGTAATTCCAAGACTAATTTATTTTATAAATGCCCTAGATGCTAAAAACAAATGTCTTGTTGCACAAATCGAAGATCGAAGCATTTCATAAGGACTGTTTGGGTGCTTGCTATTACGTTTGGGATGGAATAAATGTGACTTAGTAGATATGGTTTTTTTTCACTTTAGTGGGGGTAAATGATTATTTTACTTATGGTTAACAATTTTTTTTTCTAATAAAATTGGAATTAAGGACCAACCGTACAAGCATATAGAAACCTTAACAAAAGTTGGTGTGTGATTTTCAAAAAGTTGGACTAGAACTATGACCTTATGCCAATCACATATATCATTTCTATAATTTACTCATAAATTTACGTGTCTAATTAACAATTAACAAGTGTTATGAAATCACATACAAAAGGAATATATTTCTAATCAACTTTTATTTTAGGGCAAGGTAACAAAAAGCCAAGGTCTAATATATATAATGTCACGTAAAATATGAACTTATTGTGATGTTATAATTAAATTTTCGATATTTTCCAAGTCATACTTATGTTTTAGAAGTACACCAATTTGATATTTATATACATGTTGATTTTAATTAAAAATTTTAGGTACTTGTTTTGAAATTTGGACGTTACAATTTAGTACTAGAGCTATCATTTAAGTGAAATATATATCTATACATAAATTTTTATACTTAAAATAGGGGTAGGTGAGTTAAGGGGACATATATTCTTGAGTGATCATGGACTAGACCTTTTGAGTTAGTGTAAACTAGTAAATTATTATTTATAAAAGGAAAAATGACACATTTGCCCGACAAAGTATTTAGAATTTGTCCATTCAGTCTCAAAACTTTTTTGGTGCTTTATGAGGGAATAAACATTGAAATGACCTGTCTTTTTAGTCCTTTTAACTTATATTAGCCAGTTTCATGTTCCACTCAAGCATTTTTCCATATAAAAGTCATAAGATAGGTCAACTCAAGTGGAGTCCAGACTTCGAGATTTGTCAATGTCGATCCAAGACCTAATAATTCATTGAAATGATGTTAATTCCTCACAAATTTCAACCATTTTCTACTTAATTCATCTCGACCTTCATGGGTTCAATTCTTCAGTTTGTTCTACTATTTCTCACCTTATCAATCCCTCATATTCTCTGTCAAGTTAAAGTTATGCCGCCATCTTCATCTTCTACACCAAATTTGAAGATTCTATTGTTTAATTAATTAGCATATATAATCACTACAAAACTCGAAAGTATCGACTGTAGAGGAACAAGTAATCATGCTCACCCTAAAACAAGTCTAGCATGGATTTTGAGATTCTGGAATCGTTCTCCATGGAACATCAGTCGAGATCGAAAACCCAAACGAGAACACAATTCACTGACATGCTGCCATTTCCTCATAATTTTCAACCCTTTTCTACTTAATTCATCACGACCTTCATGGGTTTAATTCTTCAATTTTTTCTACTATTTCTCACCTTCTCAATCCCTCATCTTCTCTGTCAAGTTACAGGTATGTCACATCTTCATCTTCTACACTAATTTGAAGATTCATGTGTTTAATTAAGTAACATTTATAATCACTGTAGAATTTGTAAGTTTCGACTATGGAGAAACAAGTAATCACACTGACCCTAAAACAAGTCTAGCATGGGTTTCAGATTTTGGAATCGTTCGCCATGGAACATCAATCGAGATCGAAAACCCAAACGAGAATGCAATTCAGTATCAAAGCCGCAGGGATTTCCCTATATACAACTAGAAGTATTGTTATACTCTAAGGGGGTGTTTGGGAGTACTTTTTGAACTCTAAAAGCGCTTTTAGATAAAAGTGTTTATTGGCTTATAGTGGTGGTAAAATGAGTTTTTAAAAAAGTGTTTGGATTAGCTTTTATGGTGAAAAAGTCAATAAGTCAATAAGTTAAAATGTGTTTGGCTTAAAAAGTGCTTTTTGAAGTTATTTTGGTTGAAAAGCCAAAAGCAGTTTCCAAAAGCCAAGTTTTACATGCTTTTCAAAAAGTGTTTTTTGAAGCAAATGAAAAAACTATTCTGAAAAGTGCTTTTGAGTTTGACTTATTAGCTTTTCAAAAGCCAATAAGCCAATAAACTGTTTTGAAAAGCAATCCCAAACACCCCCTAAATACCATAGAAAGAACACGATACATAGTTCGTACCACCTTTCTGTATGACAGTTCCGAGAGCGAAAACACATACCCTAAATTTCAGCTCTATTTGTATGATTTTGACGTTTAAAATGTGATTTTGACTATTATATGGAAAAATGCTTAAGTGGCACATGCAACTGGCTAATATAGATAGAGGGACTAAAAAGACAGGTAACTTCAAAGTTTATTCCCTCATAAAGCACCAAAAAATGTTTTGGGACTGAATGGGCAAATTCGAAATACTTTGTTGGGCAAATGTGTCATTTTCCCTTTATAAAATACAACCTTGGCATTGTAATTTATACTGTATTAAATTAAATTTCATATAAAATGAGAAAATTATATACTACCACTTTATAAATAAAGAGGGATACATAAGGGATACCATTAGTTGAGTCCATATTATATTTATCTTAACTTAATTGTGATATAATCTAGTGTAACCAAGAGGGTAGATCCTCAAAAACTCTATGCGACAGGGGTAGAATGGGTCGAGTAGGTTGTAGATATAGGCCATATTAGTGGATATGCATTATAAGATAGCTGTATAACCTTTGATAGTGTCAACAATGGAAATCACAAGGATGTGAAATCCATAAGTAAGAAGAAATGATATCCAAATTCCAAGAAATAAAAGATGAGGAGGTATTTAGAGATCTACAAGGCATCATGTGTTTGTTTGTGTAACGGTGAAAAGAGCAAGTGCACTTAAAGATGTAATTTTGTCACATCCCAAAAATTTCAACAAATATAAACTTTTCAAAACAACTCTTTTATTATTAGAAGTGTCACAAAACCATTGTTTTCGAACATTCTTTAAAATCAGAGTCTCCCAAGATCCAATCAATTGTAAAACCAAGGATGTGTACGGTGACGCCTTCGCATTGCCACGGTCCAATGAAGTACCTTTGTACCTGAAACCATAAACCAAAACTGTAAGCACGAAGCTTAGTGAGCTCCCCCAAAATACCACCACATAGCATAATAGCAAACAACAACATGTAACATGTATACAGAGCCTTAAGCATGACTGGAATGCCGCACCGGCCTACAGACTATCTGGAACGCTGACAGAGCCTTCAACATGAATGGAACATATCACCAGCCTACAGACTATCTGGAACGCTCACATAACCTTCAGCACGACTGGAACGCCTCGTTGGGCCTTCAGCCTATCTGGAACGTTCTCCGGGCCTTCGGCGTGAATGGTAAGCCTCTCGAGCCTGCAGTCTATCCGGGATGCCTTGGGTTTCTTGGCCTTCAGTCCCAGCTAGTCCGCCTCAACCTAATAACCAACACATATCCACACATACCATAACATAACAACATATCGATATAAACATTACCGGGTTTGTTGACTGGCAGCACAAAACAGTACAGTCTCAACCCAACCACACTACATCAACATATGCATAGATAGACATATAACCAGTCAACAAACAATCAGACAGATCTTATATATCACTAAGCATAACATCATCCTATATAACAGGATATAGATCTAACAGAGCAATACAGTGTACCAACATACAATAAACTAGGATAACAATCCAATGGGCCGACTTTAGTGCATACAACCCCAAGATACAGTGAGGAAAAATCACATCACAAACTAAACAAAAGCTGATAAGGTCCCTGACTCCGAAACTCAGCTCTCTAATCGGCACCCAATCCTACCAAAGACCAGTTCCATCAAAATCCCAAAATACCCTCAATGTTCAGACTTGGTGTAACGCCTTTTTTCGAATCATTCCCATTGTGGGGAATGGTGATCAGGGATTGGGTATCAGCAGGCTTCAGATCCTTCAGGAATTGAGTTTTGGAACCAGTTGGAGTTGGATAATGTAATTTGGATGCTTATGTATTCAGTTTGAGTCTTTGAGTCAAAGGGCATTTCGGTAAATTGCCAGCTTGGGATTTTATGGAAAGTGGATGTTCGTTCGGGATATCTTATGGCTATTATGACTTGATAATAGTGTAGAGCATCTCGATACCTTTTCATGGATATAGGGATGGTCGAAATCAGAGTTGTATCGAGAAAGTTATGGTCTTTAGATGATTTAGGGTTTGGGGAAACCCCTAGTACGCGGAGCATACCAAGGTGGTACGCAGAGCGTA